CATTATTTTGCTATTGCCCACACTTTTCCTTCAATCAACCTAACGATGCTGTACCTTCGACTTTACAAGTCACCCCGGCGTATACGCAACCTCAACTCAACTCAACTCAACTCAACTCACAACTCAACGTACATACATAGTATTTCTTACCATCACGCCCTCACTCGTTTCGCCCCTCTGTCGCACCATTCCACGATGCGATTCAGCTAGACAGCGCAATCATTCAAGGCAACGAGCGAAAATATTTATATTCATGTCGCGGTGTTTCGAGTGGAATTGCAATGACTGTCCGTCGCATGAACGAACACGTGTGTGTGTGTGTTTATTTGGTCTGTGTCGCAATCAGAAACGTGTTAAGAAATCTTTCATGTACCACTTGCTTCAGCTTTAGCTTCAATTTCAGCTATAGCAGCAGATGCAGCTTCAGCTTCGACCGCACACACACACCCTCATTCGTCGCGTCAAGTTAAGCAACCAGCCAGCGTGCGATTTGGACATGCAATCCTTGGCCAGCTAACATTGGCGCAGCGTGAAATGGACTTGACCGTTCATAGTTTTTTCGCTTCATGCTTGTGATTTGTTTTTCCATTTCTTTTTTTTTTGTCGACTTTATTCTTTTATTTTTGTGCTTCCTTTTGTTGTGCTACACGCTCGTATTAAATGTCATTTCACATTTCGTGACAAGTTGGCTAATCTGACTGGAAAGTTATTTATTTCGCCTCGCTGCATCGCACAAGCGCCAGCACAACGCCTCTTCGATTCCTCGCAAGTCCTCATCTAATACTTAGGTACATTTTGTATATGCTCTGCTCCTCATCAGGTCACAATAATATCGTCGTAGTAGTCTTAGTCAATCGCATTTGCGACATTATGCTGCTTTCTTTACTGGATTTTTTTTTGTTTTTTGGTCATCGCATGTCTGCTCCTAAAAAGCACTCCTTCTTAGTCCCAAAACCCTTAGAGTCTGCCACTTACCAAGCACTTATTATGTATGTACATATTTTCTATATGTATGCATGAAGGAGAGAGTGGTTTTAAAAAATTTCGTATGCTAGCTGCATTCGTGTTTTTTTTTTTGTTCTTCCTTTTTGCTCATCTTTCTTCGTTGGTCTCTATTTATTTCCACGCCAACTTACGTATACAACTCTGTAGAAAAATTGCATTCTATTAAATTTATGGATTTCCATGCAACTTTATATAGTTCACTTTGATATTTTGCACTTCCTCAAATAATAAAAACAGTTATTAAAGAAAAATATATCAAAATTAGAGGACAGTGGACTTTTTTTGCAGTCACAAATTTGCGTTTAACTGAGTTTTTACATGTGATGCTTCTTCTTCTTCTTGCCGCATCGGGCCGAGACTAAGGGTACGTTCGCACAGAAAGAACAGCGGCGCTGAGAGGAGTAAGGTGGAGCGAAGCGGAGCTTCTGGCATTCACACTGAATGAGGCGAAGCGGAGCTTTTTGCGTGAAATCAGCTGCAAAGATTTTGAAAAAGTTTAGCTGCAGTGAAGAGGGGCGAAAATATTTGTTCCATTTTAAATTATTTTTACTTTTTTGTTCGCAACAGCTTCATGAAGCTCCAGCTTCAGCTCCAAAACGCTTTTGAAAAAGTTTTCTGGATGAACACTTTCATAAAGCTACACTTATTTGAAAGCTGCGCTTGGCTCGGAACGCTTTCGCTCCGCTTGGCTACCCTAAGGGTACATACAGACAGAAATCGGAGCCGGTTCGCGCTGCGCCAAGTGAAGGAGGAAAATAGTTGTCGGAAAAAGAATTTTCATTCGACTATTTGGAGTTTTGTTCACAGCAGCGTTTCTGCGATGAAAAATCAGAAAGAGAATTCAGAATCAAAAAAAGCTTTGCCTCCTGCTTTTCAAGTTATTACGAAGCCCTGAGAAATACTTTTTTGCAAGTGCAATTCTCCACTTGATCTCCAGGCTTGCGTTATAAGTGGTGTTAATGCTGGAACCTAAATAGAAAAAACTCCTACCTACTTCATAATTGTAACTTCAGATAGTGACGTGTGTCCCGATACGCGAAGACTTTTTGTTTGTTGCCTGGAGCTGCTCTGTATTTTGCTCGTTCGCCGCGAAACCAACCGCATTTGCCTCTTTCTCTCAGCTGAAAAATTATGTGTTGACTGCCCCAAATAGTACTGATGTTTAGACCGACGATGTAGATAACGTCTGCATTTGCCGGCAGTGTAGTGCTTTACTATACTATACGGCACCGCTACGGCAGTTCGTATTATGCTTTCCACCATCGGATTGTAGTAGTCATGCGAGTAAATAGCCCTGTCTCAAACCCACTTTAGTCTCGAACGCTGCGGTGGGGGCATTCCCATTTTAAAAGGAAGCTAAAAGTTGTGCTTAACAACAGTCTAAATAGGCGTATAAGTTTTACTCTTATTCCACGGCTTCATAGGACAGTTTTTCTTTGTGCTGCTTTCGACGAGCAGGTTGTCTGTATCAATCTTAAGTTTTTTCAAGCATTTGAAGAAATGTTAGAATCTGTTCAATGGTGGAATTTACTAAGATTGAAGCTACACTGATAAGCGCCAAACAATTGATTCGGGATGATGTCTTTAGTTTTTCACACATTATTGTCCATAGTACCCTGTGTGGCAGGTCACATGGTAATTTGCACAAACAGCAACATTTCCCTCTTGGTGTATAGGGCAAGGCACCCTCAGATCCAAGACTTCAAGCATGGTTTCATAAGATCAAACACTGTTGTTGTAACAGCATACAAAGAGTTTTTGGGTAAAGATGCTAGAGTGACAGTCCTTGGCCAGACATATGTAAATCTAGATAAATCCGGTAACGTAGACCTGATTGTCGTGGGAACGCATCGTCTGCATCGCTTTTCAAAAGTATTGAGAAGTGTTCCCTTTATAGCTTAAGTAAGTGCACTCTAGGCGTCCGCTTCTTCGTCATTGCAGAAACCAACAACGGTCTTGAAATCATTTGGATTGCTGCCTAATTTCCTGATAAAATTTTCCAGCCGTATTCCGGCATCTCAATCTCTTCGCATTAACTCCGTAGGCGTAGGGCGTAGAGTCGCATGCAGAGTTTAGCTGCAACATGGTAGTGATCTGACTCGAAGTTGGTTCCTAGGATGGAACGCATGTAAAGAACTCTCGAAGCAGACCCCCAACCAGCTTTGTGAATGTTTCGATGCTGATGTCTGATACTACTAACTGTCTTATTCCGTATCGCGACAAAGTCGATGAGCCGCTCTCCATTATCATTGTTGTCAGGAAAGCTGAATTTTCAAGCTATTGAAATTGTGGCAACTCGTTGACTGATGGTGGTAAACCTGAATACAAGTTGTCGAAGTCTTAACAGAGTCACAAAGCCAGCACCGAATCTGTTCGCCATCGTATCGTATCAAAGGTTTCACACTTTTTGCAGTCATACCCCATCCATGCACCTTCGACGCTTCTGCGAGCACTAATTCCATACCTGGCGCTTAGACTAGATTTTTTTCACTTTTCTTGGAACATTCAGATCTCATCTTTAATATATCTTTAAGCTATGATACTAAGTGGTTAGGAGACTTCTTTCTTCCCTCTAGGTGATAAAATTTTCCTTTAAAGAACGAGGAGGAAAATATGTATATATCCTCATTGTAAAAAGGATGCTTCCTTCTCCTAACTCCTGCTACACATAATTCAACTGTGTGTGAGTTCTCATTTTTTAACATTTTGATTGTTGAATTATTATCGCATTCGCCACAAGAGACATTCCATTGTACACACACAAAGAAACTGCCTTATGTGAGCACATTAATTTTCAGCCGCCAAGCAACCAACTACAATACCATCCTAAGTAGTTGTGAATTGCACTACTGACAGGCGGGAACAAGCCACTCAAACAAATTTAGTGCACAAATACATAAACACTTGCACGCGTGCACTTGTGATCATGTCACATAGCATTTTGACACATGTGTGCGGCTTTGTAGTCTGCCACACAATGCTAACTATGTGCATTAGGGTGTCTCACTAAAAAAAAAAAAGCGAAAAAAATTTATCGACGGGAATAATGAAACTTATTAAATTTTGTAGCTTCTGTCCCAGTATTTCAAAAAAGTAGTAAGATTTTCGTGAGCCGAAACGATTTCAAAATATTTTAAAAAACCTGAATGTTTTGATCTCGTTGGTAAAATTTTTAAACAGTTTTGTGCCTTTTAAGCTTAAATTTTTTTATTAACTGATGGAGTTTTTTTGAAAAAATATTTTTTTTTTAGTTTTATTTATAAAAAAAAAATCGATTTTTTGAGTTATTTTAATATTGGTCCAGCTCACGTAAATCTCAATATTTTTCCGTAATATTTAATTTAATTTTATTTTTTTTATGGAGGGTGGCGCACTCTAATGTATATATATCAGCAGCAACGCGCAGTCAGCTACTTAAGAAGACAAATTGATGTTAGGCGTCTTGAGAAATGAAAATGCTGGTGCCAGTTGAGCTGACTACGACGCTTGCTGACAGTCAGCAAAAGCGCGCTGGCTTTTTATCGAGAATATAAAGAAATAATCGACTTTTTCTCTATGTTTTTTTTTTGTGCCTCTTCTTTTTTTCTCGCTTGAAAACGCGCGTGTGTATGCTCATGAGCATAATTTACTTCGGTAATTTATTAACTTTACTTTGCCACAAATATGTAAGAATGCAGAAAATATGTATGTACGTATGTACGTAAGCCTGGAGCGTGCAAAGTATTCCAGTACTTATATTAATAGCTTAGCGCTCAGCAGGCAGGCGGTGCTGGCAGTGCAGATGCTCATAAGCTTTACCACAACTATTTGCTGATTTGGCAGCGAAATTATTATTTTTTTTTTTGCTTTAATACTCAAAAAAAAACTAGAAATACGCTGAGTTCATTTAAGCACCACTACCTTTTCTATACCACTCCTTTTTTCACATACAATTTTTCTCTAAAAATTTTCCACTTACTTATGTTCCCTACTTTTATTTTCTAATCTACTTACAGGGTCGTTGTAATCGTGATAAACCGCCGTGCAAATATTTTCATCCACCACAGCATTTGAAGGATCAATTATTGATAAATGGACGAAACCATCTTGCCTTGAAGAATGCACTGATGCAACAGATGGGTATGGCAACTGGACAGCAAGTCATACCGGGACAAGTGCCAGCAGTGGTGAGTACTTAGAAAACTAAACAAAGCATGAATGAAAGAAAGAGTGCTTCAATAGACTGCATAGAGTAGAGTGGAACAGTGATTTGCTAGTATAAATGCATACATATTTTAGTATGAGAAGAATAGCCGTATTCATATGACTATCAAGCAAAAACGAGAAAAAGCTTTAACGCACTTATTAGATGGGAAGTATATAAAAAAAGGTTGCATAGTAAAAAAACCTAAGCTGTTGCATCTTGTGCGCTGATATAATTTTTTCATAAATCATTGCATACTTTTGGTATAAGTACACTGCGTGGTCTAAGCTGCAATGTACACATAAAATTTTAATGAGGTAGCCAGCCAAGTGATTGCTGTATACTTATATGTACATATCTAGTAGTGTTTCGATAACTTGTGGGGGCATTGTGCAAGCAATGAAGTAGATAATTATGAATAGGGGAAGGCATTAAGAAGTAAAAAAGTTAGAAGAAATTATTCAGCACTATGAAGTATGAAAAAAAAAATACCTGATGGCGCAAAGAATAAAAGTTTTTTTACGATGAGTTCATTAATATAGGAAATGAGGAATTTAAATATTATTAATAACGCAATTAAAATGTGAAAAGGAGGTCAGTACTGCAATGCTGTAAGGGAAAACCGCGCATCCATATGTATTTCTGGCAGGAAATACTGCCGTTTTTTCATTTGTTGGAAAAAATTACGCTACACTAAAAACTGACGCATTACTGGCATGGTGAGAACAACACCGACTGCGGCTCTCGAGGTGCTTCTTGACCTGTCTGCCCTACGGATTGTAATCAAGAAAGAGGCTCTACTATTTACAGCAAGGCTCATCTCAGCTTTGTGGACCAGTGCCTTCCGAGATTTAACTTCACACAAAACTTCAAGCTTTTTTTCCCCCGACAGGAAGAACTGGCACAACGAACAACCCAAACCCCGGAGAGACAGCCACATCTGGTATACTGTCGGCTCCACGACCAACCGCAGCGTAGGAGCAGGAGTTTACGGCATACAACCCAGACTGCTCCTTTTCACCAGCTGGAGCAAGGTAACTCTGTCGTTCAGGCCACGATTCACGCCATTTAACTATGTCTGAGGCAGTATGTAGAAAGCGGGGCTACCAAAAAAACACATCGATTCGCGATCCATAGTATACCACAGCCGTAAGAAATGGCCTACTGAACAACCGAAACGACCGTGAAAGCTCACGATCTATGCCCACTTCTCCAGACAAGACCACTCAAGCACTTGGAATCTGTCTTTCTCACCTGCTTGGCAGAGTTACCGGAAGTGAAACTATCGGACCTTTTTGAATTTGAAATAGACACTATAAGTACATTTTAGTAAAAATTCCGATTATAGAAATGTGCCTCCTCCAGTCACTAATAGAAGACATTCACCTTCGAGTGAAAGTTTGGAAACTTCATACACGCCTGCCTTCCTTACCTAAGCTAACTCTGAAAATATCTTAGTATACCAGTATATGAGGCTATCTCACACGGTCAAAAATTTGGGTTTAATTTTTAAACCGCGCTGGGACTACTGCCTTTTTTAAACTTTTATAGTCTACTTTTTAAACCAGTCAATAGTTTTACGCAATTTTTAATATATTCTGGTTTAAATTTTAGCCCAAAAAGTTCGTGGTTTAAAAATCAAACCAAAATGTTTTAATTCTAGTTTCTAGGTTTCAAATATAGAAACTTTGGCTTAAAATCTAAACCGAAATAGAATATGTTTGCACAGCGAATTGTGGTGTTGATTCAAACTCAACATATGAAAGCACATTTACATGCGTGGCTGTAGCTGAGTGTGCAAAGATGCTTGATACAATTGGTTGCTACCAAGGCTGTCCGGGTTCAATCCCAACCAGACGGAGCATGAAATTTAAGATTGTTTTTTTTTATTCTTAATTATGAAAATGTTTGGGATTAACATTTAAACCGAATTGTTTAAATTCTAAACCCAACATATGTGCTCTCTTTTTTATAAACTTGGAAGGTTTGTATTTGAAACTGAATTTAGTTTGGTCATATATGTAGTCCAAAAAGTTTAAAATTAAAACCGAAATTTTTAACCGTGCAGTCTTATATCCAATGGAAAAATTTTTCCTTCATCTGTTAATAAAAAATTGCAAAAAATTTTACAAATTAGAAGTCATCAGCTCTGTTCAAAAGAAATGTGTTTTACAAGTTCAGAAATTACTCAGCAATTTTTGTTTAGTTAGAAGGTCTGAAAAGGTGTTAAATTTTTAATCAGTTATAATCATTTCTTGTCATTTTCCCGTAAACTCTATTAGTTAAACAAAATCTTGATTTATAAAATTGCATTAACGCTAGATATCCTTAAAATTTGATGTATAGTCAATCAACAACGAAAAATATACAAAACCATTTCTTATTACTCTCAGAAATAATTACACGAAATGAAAATAAATTTGAAGTAACAGTCACGTTCGCCTCGCCAAAAGAGTTCGAAAAGGTTGTACACCCCACCTACAATTTTTTTTAACGTTCACGCTAATGGGTTATAACAGCCCTTTTGCCATTCAAAATGCGCTACTATTAACTGACATTGTTATTAAATGATAATGATGGATTTGTTATTCATCAGCGCGGGCGACAACAGTACAGTTATTCAAGCAAGCGCTAGCAGGAGCAATGAGTCATTTACATACATACACAGTTAACAAAGTAAGAAGGGGTTGGGTAAGCAGTGCGCACAGCTAAAAGTTGATGGTAGTACTTAGTTGTCAAAAGCCATACACAGTGGAATGGGTTGTTGTAGCAGCTTTTTACCAGCATTTGTCTTCAACGCCACGGCGGCAGTTTATTATGAATTTTAATTTAAATGTGAGTACATACATAAATACATACATATTTCCACATTTTCCGCTCATCAACTCAGCAGACAACAAACTGTGTTGATGAATGGTTGGAGGAAAAGTGTTGCGTGAAATGGCAAGAGTAATGTGAAAATGCGCGGCTGTCATTCAGCTGTTGAAATTTTAAATTAATATGACGCATTCCAGCGCAAAAAATAATTTTCAAATGGCCTTTTTGGATACTTTTTTGAAACGGAGTTTGAGAGTGGGAAGTTAGTGGTGGCAAAAGTTAAGAGTTTGAGACCTAGTTAGAACAGGTTGTACGGAAATTTTCATTAAGTATTTAAAGTATTTTACGCAATCAATAAATTGAACAAAATTTATTTTAATTTTCTTTAGTTTGAACCGAATGGAATAAATCACAATCACATCGATGGCTTTAATTCCATACAACCTATCTCATATTTCACAAAACCTAGTCTCTGTTGTTAGAACCCATCTGTGACCTAACTGCCAGCACTGATGCCAATTCTAAATTTGCAATCCAATAGTAAATTCATTAAACAAGCGATGTACAAGCTTAGCATTAACATCTTCGAAGAAAGTTAAGACTTAGGTGGATTTTTATTCCAAAATCAGGGATCCGGACTTTTACAAATTTTATAATAAAAGTTCATAGAAAAATGATATTTTTGGAATTATATTTTATGTTAAACAAAATAATCAGTCAACCCGTTATTTTTTTTAGTCCAGCAACAGTAACAGTTAAATTTGGCCGAAATAAAAGTCCTTTCGTAATATTAAACAATCCGCTTTCAAACTGAAATATCTAAATGAAGAATGTCACCTAATGGAAAATATATGAATCAAAAATGTTATTTAATTATCATAGGACAAAGTTTTAGTCAGGTATATGAATTTTTTTTTGTCTTAAGTTTAAAAAATTTATATAAATACATAGGTGGTACCTTTCGTTTAGATATTTCTGTTTGAAAGCTATTTTAGTTCTCAGTCATTTGATATCAAATTTGTTTAATTTGGATAAGCGGGTTGTTTATTATTAGCAAAGGAGTTTTATTTCGCCCTAAAAAAATATTTGGCCCAGTTTAACTGTTATTACTGGAGTGTAGAAATAAAAATGCAGATTTTTCAGACTTTGGACTTTTTCGCAAAAAGGTCGAAAAAGAAAAAATGTGCAGGAGGTCCTTGGATCAAAGGAACATTGATAACTTTTTTCCACGGCAATATTTTGTTCCGAACTTTTATAACATCGAAAAAATAGTAACTGTTATTTTCGGTCGCTGATCAAAATATCACTGTTTCCCTAATAATTATTAAATGCATAAGTATGTACACCTTTTTGTGGCCGTATTTATAAAAATAAATGCATAAGCGTGCATAGAAATATATATATTACATGTACAGTGAGTCAAACAAGTTTTCAAATGGTAATTTTTTTTTAATAGTCACAATGGTTTTCAACTAAGAATTTTTTTTTGTTCTTTTTTTTATAAATATTTCTCATGCTTCAATCAAAACCATATATGTACATAAATGCAAGTTTCAAACTTTATACAAAATTAAGACAAATTCTAAAAATTTCCACACAACTTTCGAACGTTCCTATATGAGCTTTTAACACATTTTTAGGAATACAATTTTATAGCCCATAAAACTTTACTCTGATAAAGTGCAAATTTCAAACCACTAAAACTTCGCTGAAATTTTTAATGAAAATTTTTTCAAGTTTTCTAAATTTTTTATAAAGTTGGAAATTTTGATTTATATGGTGGAATTTTGACAGAACTTTTGTGCTTGCTGTAGGTTGGAATTCAGAGAAGAAAATAGTTTTTTTGTCAATTGTCCACAAATATGGTTATGAACTACTTTTTTATAAAAAAAATAACAAAAAATTTTACTTAAAAATCTTTGTGTATACATATTAAAAAAAAGAAATAAAAATCAGCATGTGAACACTTGTTTGAGTCACTGTACATGCTACGTACAACCCATTGTATACCTACATACATACCTACATAGTTACAAAAAAGTGTAGGACGATTGGGTCACACAGCTGGCCGCTCCTCTCATGCATATTCATTAAAATCCAACTTAATACTCTGCGGTGTAAATTTCCATTAGCAGTTGTCAGCGAAGTCTTTGTAGAAAAGCAACAGTTAGTAGAATGACTATTTGGTTAAGCGAAAATGATTGAGTCCAGTGTTTATATGCAAAATATGTCTAAAAATAGCAAGAAAATTCCAAAAGTATTAGTGCAAGAGACAACCACGGAAAATGAGTAAAAAGCGTCATATCGCATTAAAATAAATTAAATTAATTTAAATAAAAGAGAGTGAACTGAAAAAAAGGCCTACAATGGAAATCCAAGTGGCTTAAATTGTGCTTTAGTGTGTCTTTAAAGCGTGTTCTACTCTACATACAAAGAATTGTCTATTTGTCTTTTGTTCGTTAATTTTTATTTTTTTTTTTCTTTTGTTCAACATTTTTCCACCAAATGATTATTTCCATCTTTTTCCCTTTCTCTTTTTTTTGTTTCTTCCCATTTTCTTTCCCTTCAAACTCATAGCCTCTTGTCTTATATTCGCAGGCCACAAATCCCTACTTAACTGGCATACCAGCCAATCCATACCCTAGTCCATATTATGCGCCTGGAACTTTAGTGCCTGCATTACTCGGACCAGATCACACACAATTGGGTCAAGTGGTGCCACAAACGGTGCAAGTAGCACAACAGAAAATCCCACGTTCCGATCGATTGGAGGTGAGTTCAATGTATTTCAAGCTTAATTTTATGCCTTTTTCGTATTTTTAGAAGAAAAGAAAGTGTTCAAAAAAACTATGAATACATAATTTTGTTTTTGATAATTTAACTGCTTTTGTTTGTTCGTTATGAGAAGCAATTAACAAACAAAAATTAACTTTTTTTACACACTAATTTTAAGTATATCTTAAGATATTTTATTTGTTAAGTGTTCTAAATTTTTGTTCTGCGCGTTCTTTTACTGTTGGGTTTTCTTTCAAATTATTTATGAGTATTTAAAGTATTTTATTTAACACGAAATTAGCATGAGTATTATTGTATGTATGTTTTATGTTAACACTACCTTATCTGTTGTGTGTGTTATTTTTAATAAATTTAATTTTTTCTCTCTTATTTTTGAAATTTTGCTTCATTTTTGTGTTTATGCTAAAAAAGGGCACAGGTTTTAGCCACATAAGTTTTAAATCAATTTGCTAGAATTTTTATAGCAAATTTTATATGCCATATCTTACAATATTTCGTTAAAGATTTTTACAGATCTAGCATAATAAAATAATTTCTGAGTTAACATTTCCTATAAACTTCCAAAAAAGTTTTTATAACGCATAGTTTTGAGGCCTATGTTTTGAATAAATTGTTATAGCTAGTTTTTCTATACCAGTTATTAGAAGTAGTATTTGAATAAGAATTTCAGGCTTCAAAATTCCAAGCTTTGAAGTTACAGGTTGCTTAGTTCTTATTTCTATTAAAAAAATGTGCGTAGTTAAATAGTTAAAAAAAAATTTATATTTTAGCAAACAAACTCCTCTGCTATAATTTTTATAGCACGTCAAAGAGATAAGCAAATTCTATAATTTTGCAACTACAAGTTTGCAGCGATTGATTTACTCAGAATTTGACTGTTAAAAGCTTCTGCAAGGTTGCTATAATTTTATAGCAAGTCAAAATTAGCAAAAAAAAACAGGTCATAAACTTCTATGTGTTTAAGGTACACAGTTTTTTACTCAATATTTGAGTACAATGAATTTCAAAGCTGCTATAATATTATATACTCATATTTCTTTCGGAAGTTAGGTGTAATAAATGACTTAGCACAAAAATCTTGTTTTAGAATTGCCTAATTTTATAGTAAGTGAAAGAGCCCAAATATTATGTCACATTACCTGGGGAAGTTTGAAGCAATAAAGTTTGTCATAATTTAAGCACAAAAACCTGGTTTTAGAGTAACTATATTTTTATAGCAACATCTGAAGATATGCGCAGTGAAAGTTTCTCTAGTTTCATTTGTAGGAAAACAACTTTTCTTGTTTATAGTATTGAAGTTCCAAAGCCATTGCAAATAAACAATTCTGGGGAGTATTAATTTGACATTTGATTTCATCTTCGAGTTTCTATTCACGTTTTAACATTCGTTTATTTTTAAATCCGATATTTTTGAAAAGTCAACACAGTAAATAATTTTTTTTTTCGTTTTGTATGCATACATTTTTCTATTGACAAAAATTTTATTTTTTTTTTCATAGACAAACATTTTTATATGAAAATACATAATTAAGTTATAACTTATAAAAATATATTTTTTGGTGAAAATGGAAATTATTTTAGGGGTTTTAGCCAACGAATTAATCACACATTCGTAATTTTTCCAAATTTAAATTATAAATTTTAAACTTTGTATAAAAACAGATTTGTTGCAATGTTCTTTTTTTTAATTATTATAATGGAAATATATTATCGCCATAATAATACCCATAACGAAATTATAATGATTTGAAGTATGTACTTAAAATTTGTTTGTTGATTTTTTGTTTTATTGCAATCAAAAATTAATCCAGATTTTTTTTTTCTCAAAATCTCGAAACGTTCTATTCATTTCTTTTTTATTTCACAAATTATTTCGAAATCTGCTGCTTTTTAACCAACTCTTATTTCTTTTTGGAAAGTTCTCCTTATTTCTCAAACACTTGCGCTCGCTCGCCGGGCTCTTTTGCTGCAAAAAAAAAGTGAACCCAAAATTTCATTTTGCTAAAATGCCTTGCTCTGCGCGCGTTTTCCCTTTCACACCACACGAACAGCAACGCAAAATGGTTTATGCAAAAACAAAAACGAAACAGCAGCAAACACGTTTTTAACATTTTTTTTCAACTTCTCTTTACAATGTATTTTTTCAAAATGTTATTATGTGTAAATAGAACAAAAATCCGATGTGGTAAAAATTAAATTTTTAATACTTGTAAGGCATTTTTACGAACTTCATTGGAAATTGATTAAAAAAAGATTGTTAAGAAACCTTGTAACTCGTTGAATCTTTCTTAATAGATTTGTTTGAATCATTTTTTTATATTTTATTTTTATTCACGGCCCTTTGGGTTATTTTTTTTTTTAAGGTCGAATTTATTGAGAAAAATATGTCATTGAAAAAAATTAGATTTTTTAATTACTTTTTATTTGGGTTTGAATTATAAAAATTTTCAAAAATGTAGTTAAACTCATTAACCAAAAAAATTGGTAAAAAATTCGGGAAAATATGCAAGTAAACGTAAACAAAAACTCAATTTTCAGTATCATTTTTATTAAAATGTTTCTCTATTTTCTTATTATTATTTTGACGTAATAAGTTTTATTCCAACAATATTACTGACACACTAATTTTTATTTTTGTACTTAAAAAAATAAATAAATAAATTGAAAGCATTAAGTGCTGACTATTTTTCTATAATTGACTTTTGTTAAAACTAGGACAACGAAAAATTTGTTTATCAAAAAAAAAAAAATATGGAATTTGAAAAATTTTAAATATTTGATATTTTGCAAAAAATGCTTTTTATAAATAAACTTAAGTAATAATAAATTTAAGTATTTAAATTTTTTCCTTAAACCAACCCATTTTCGAAAAATTTTGGAAAAATTTAATTTACAATTACAAATTGTTGAAGTCTTAATTTCTGTATGTACAGCAATAAGAATTTTTAACGCAAAAATAGCGCATTTAAGATCAAATTTTTTCTTTTTTTTTCACAAACTTTTTTTATGTATAATTTATTTTGCATTTCACTTTTTTATGTGGCATTTTTGTGTATTGCTTTTGTTTTGTGTTCCTCGATATTCAACTAATTCGCTGTGATTGAATTTAACGTTTACAAAAACTGCAGAAAAAAATAAATAAAAAGTAAAAATTTGCTTGCCGACCAAAATCGCTAAGCAGATCCGTCTGTAACTCCTAACCATGCGTGTACAATTTGCTGCTGCGCCAACATTTAACACGCCGTCGAAGTTGTCAAAAACTCACCGCAACCTTTTATTTAAAAAAATATGAAAACAAAAAAGCAAAAATCGTAATACGTACTGTTGGCATGCAAATTTGAAGACAAATTTTTACTCACAAAATAACCGCTGCGTTTGAAAGCAAATCTAATACAAAAATTTATAATTTCTTAAAGTGCCTGAAATTATACTGAACAAAATTTATTTCCTTCCATTATTTCCTCCCAACCACCAACAAAAAAAAAATAAAAAAAAATTTAAAATCAACAACCAACACCAACACAACCACAATCGCCACCAACAATTTCGACTACACCGACACCTACAAAATTATTACCACCACCAACACCACCACCAAAAATCAAACAACAACAACACCCGCTACAACAACTGCAACAACTATTGCAATAAATTGCATACGCAACTGCAACTGCTACCAACTGCTGGCCATACTGCCCAATTGCTGCCTCTGCCTGTGCTGCCGCCAACGCCGCTGCCTACCACCGCTGATGCAACCACACGCCACCAACTACGACAAACTATACACCGCTGCCAACGACACCAACCAACCAATCTATCTATGTATCTATCCATCGACTTGCCAAAAAAAATGATGCGCCAACGCCTACGCATATGCAATGAAAATCCATATGAAAATGGGCTATGCAAAACAAAATTCTTATTTGGAAATTAAAAAACGCGCTACAACAACTTCGTCAACTGGACAAAAAAATGCACATGAAATGAAAAATCAAAAAACGCGAAAATTCGAAAATTCGATCCGCTTTTTGTAGGTTTGCCGTGAATTTTTGCGCGGCGCCTGTAAGCGCGCCGAATCGGAGTGTCGTTTTGCGCATCCGCAGGATAGCGTCGCCCGGCATGATGACGGCTCGATCACGGTGTGCATGGATGCTGTGAAGGGCAGATGCACGCGCGAACCATGCCGCTACTTTCATCCCCCTTTGCACCTGCAGGCACAATTAAAAGCGGCGCAAACGCGCGCCACTGCTGTCGCTACTGCGGTATGGCTAAATTGTTCTTACAAATTTTTCAATAATGTTATCAATTATTTTAATTTAATTTCAAGAAGAATAACACAAAAATTTTGTTTATTTTTTATTTTGTACTAAATATTATTGTGTATCTAGCCAAACAGTAAATTAAATATGAATGAGCCAAAGTTTGTATGCTAAAATAAAACTGCAATTTGCAAAAGTGTGGTTGTTGCAAGTGATAGAGTTTGGCAAACAAAAGTTGCTATAAAATTGCTACAATCCTTAATGGCACGGCACGTAAACTCTCCACTAAAAAGGAATTGATATTTTTTTGTTAAAATTACGTTCAAAACTACAAATTTCCCTTTGCCATAAACTTGCTATAATATTCATAAGCAATAGAACTGAGAGAAAAATGCAGCCTGTTTGTTTTTCTAACGAATTTCAAACGACTATTGGGTTTTTTTTCCACAAAAACTTCCTATAATTTTTTATAGTAACTAAATTAGTAATAGCAACTAGTTAGTAAATTAGTATATGTAACGTAGGAGAGCAATTTTCGGGAGGTTTGTTAAAATTATTTATAGGAAAGTAGCTATAATTTTATAGCAAATAAATAACTACAGGTACTTTGCATAAAGTTACTTCTGAAACACACAATCAGATATGCGTGCATTTAAGTGTATGCAGCTTTTATAAGTCGCTATAATTTTTTATGGCAAATCGAAAAAGCATTTTCTT